AATGTACTTATATCTGTGAAAAAACATTTTCAATTTACTTAAATAAGCAAATACTAAGATCCAGAACAAGTGAGCACTCATATATTCAGCTATTGAATGCACCGGGTTCTATTTAGTTAATTTAAATATATTTTTCAAAAATGTTATTTTTTGTTTTCTCTATGCACTTGTATATGACATACAAGAACCACTGTCTGACATGTCAAATATTCCAATAGCTGACATTGTAGGAAATTGTACCAATGGATGACAATAATTAAATAAAGATGGAGTAAAATACTAATAAAAATAAAATTTATTAGCAAACATTGTTTAACAAACATATTCTTATTTTACATGTTCTATATAGACAATATAAATATATATAAAATACATTTTTTATGAACACTTATTACAGAATGTTTAAATACATATCAGTAATAAAATGGCTGAAATAAATAAATCTGTAAATATCAATAAAAAAGACATATGTACACTATATGCTAAGCAGGAAGAAAATGAAATTTTCCATAAACGAAATATGCTACGTTTCGATGGATTACATGAGAAGGAAAATGAAAATTTGTTGCAAATCATCACTAACTTAGTAAACCAGTCAATGAAAGTAAAGTGCACAATAGCAGATATTTCAAATATATATATAGTAAAGTAAACTCTGACAAAATTCATACAAGAACTATAATTGTAAAACTTATCTCCTTTCTAAAGAGAAGTGAAATTCTGAAAGCTAAAGGTACTTTAAAGCAATCAGGCATATTTGTAAATGAAAATTTAACAATCAAACAGTATGATTTATTGAAGAAAGCTAAACATAAATATGGTAGAAAAGAAGTTTGGAGTTGGGCTGGAACTATATTTGCTAAAGTAAATGATGAAGTTAAGAAGATTCAAAACGAGGCTGTTATTTGAAGTTCAGAAGCTTCAAAACAAAACGAATCGGATATTTCATGAAATAGTGTATGGACAGCTTTAGAATAAACCTATTCAAAATTAATAATAGTTAAAGTGTACATTTTGCGAGAGTATTGTTTTTGCTCCTAAAGACTTCTTGATAAGACGGAGCGTGCTTTGTTGTTTTTTTTTTCTTCTTTTTTCTTTTAGAATTATTTTTATTTAGAATTGGTTAAAAATAACGTCTCGAAGTATACTTGGATTTTAATCCTAATAGTATGGTAAATTTTGTCTTTCATATAAAGATTAAATAGAAATTAAAGAATTGTAAATTATTTTATTGTTAATATCAAGAATTAAAATAGGTTATCAAAATAAATGTGAAGTAATTCGAACATTTTAACATCTTTGAATTTTTTTATTTTTTTGAATTTTAATGCATATGAGAATTTATCACATTGATTATAGGGTGTATTATTTTTTCTTTTACTTTTTAATTATCAGGAGACCTCATAAGATAGGATATAATAAAACATGTCAATTGTATCTATATGTTATCAAAATTGCAGAGGTTTGAACACTAAAATGGTGGAATTTTACACAAACACTTTAGAAGGTAATCACGATATAGTTGTTGTTACCGAATCTTGGCTAAAAGATGGGGTGAGGGACGGAGAATTAGCAGATGTAAATCATTTAAATATATTTAGAGCAGACAGAAATTTGGAAATTACTGGAAAAACACGGGGAGGAGGCGTTCTTATAGGAATTAAAAAGAAATTTAAAATATTAAATGTTGTTGAACATTCTTCTGTATTCGAAGTTTTAGTTTTAGATGTAAAGATTTGTAGAAAAACTATCTGTACTATAATTGGAGTATATATTCCGCCTAATGTTGAATTACATGAATATATAACTTGTTTCCAACTCATACAAAATTACATTAAAGACATCAATAAAACGTTTATTTTTGGGGACTTAATTTACCGGAAATAAAAGGTATTAATAGTTTGGATGTTATTGTAAGTACCAAAACAGTTTGCAAGATTTTCTAAACTTTAATTCTTTGGTACTTTGCAACAACGTAAAAAATGCACAAGGAAAAACATTAGATTTAGTACTTGTGTCCGAGGAAAACTTTAATTTATGCGAAGTGATTAGGGAATTTTGCCCCCTAGTTCGTGAAGATATATTTCATCCGGCTTTAGTTATTACTGTATCATTAAATAAATGTGAAGAACCTACTAAGGATAAATTAACAGATAACCGATTTAATTTTAAAAAAGCAAATTTTAATTTAATGTATGAATACATGAGGAATATTAACTGGGAAAATGTAACTGAATTAAATGATGTCAATAGAGCTGTAGATAACTTTTATTTTAATGTGCATGAAGTATTTGATCTAACTGTACCAAAATATAAGACCTATGACAATTATAATAAATACCCCGTGTGGTTTAATGTTGAAATTAAAGAACTATTGAAAGAAAAAAGGCAATACAGAAAATTGAAGAACATTTCAGAATATCACAATAAAATATATATAGAAACAAGAAAAAAATTAAAAACGGCAATAAAGAAGGAGCACAAGAAATATTTACAGAACATAGAAGAAAATTTGGCTGAAGACAAATAATTTTTGGAATTACGTGAATCATAAAAGGAAAAACTTAAATCAATCTCAAACTTTTAATTTTAGAGGTCAGAAAGTGCCTGAGAAGGATACTGCTGATATATTTGCAGATTTCTTTGCATCGGTTCATTCTGGTGAAAAATCACTATATAATTTAGAATTCAATAATGACCCTCTGAGCTATTATAATACTTGTAATTTAAATAATATAACATCTATAGACTATGAAGCTGCGGTAAGAAAATTAAAACCAAAAAAATCGGCTGGTGGAGACAATCTACCCCCATATATTCTAAAAGGTTGCCAAGAATTATTTCAAAAACCATTAATACATATATTTAATTTAATTATTAAACATTCAACTTATCCAAATCAATGGAAATTAGCGACTTATACCCCTATTCACAAGTCAGGGAATAAAAGGGATATAGAAAATTATAGGGGAGTGGCCATACTTTGTGCTCCTTCCAAATTGTTGGAACATATAATATATAATAAAATTTATAATCATATTAAAAATATATTAGTTGATGAACAACATGGTTTTGTTACTGGAAAATCAATAAATACCAATTTATTAATATTCACAGAAGTCGCATCTAGAACTATTCATGAAAAATCACAATTAGATACAATTTTCACAGATTTTTCAAAAGCTTTCGACCTCGTTAACCATGATATTTTACTTCAAAAATTATATAATATGGGAATTGCAGGAAACTTAATACAATTGTTAAAAAGTTATTTGGAAAATAGGGAGTTTGTGGTAAAACAGAATGGAAATATTTCGAACAGAAAATATTCAAACTCTGGAGTACCACAAGGTTCTAACCTGGGACCGCTGCTCTTTTTAATATTCATTAACGATCTTCCTTCTTGTGTTAAATTTTCAGACTGTTTAATGTTTGCAGATGACTTCAAAATTTTTAAAAAGGTTCAAACGATTAGAGACTGTGTAATGCTTCAAAGAGACATAGAAAACATTCATCTATGGAGTGTCGAAAACAAACTTAATTTCAATGAGAGTAAATGTTATGTGATGTCAATAAGTCGGAAAAAAGATCCTATTGTTTTCAATTATATCATGAACAGTCAATATTTAAAACGTGTAGAAGAAATTAAAGACCTAGGGGTTACGTATAATTATCAAATGTCATTTGCATCTCATATAAGATATACTGTTAATAATGCCAATCGTACATTAGGTTTTATTATAAGACAAACAGCACTATTTTATAATTTGAAAACAATTGATTTATTATATAAAACATTAGTCCGGTCATAGTTAGATTTTGCTTGTATGATTTGGGAGTAACAACCGCAAATATATCTAGATTCTGTCGAAAAAATTCAAAATAAATACCTACGTTATACATACTATAAAAAGTATCATCGTTGGCCTGACTATAATTATGTAAGATCTCAAATGTTACGTGAAGAATTTAAAATCCTGTCTTTAAGTACGATACGTAAAATAGCAATGATGAACTTGTTATTCAAAGTGATAAATAATCAAATAAACTGTAGCAGACTTTTATACTACATACCGTTTCATGTCCCTCCTAAACGCACACGGAACTCCCTAATATTCAATATACAAAACTCTGCTGGTCCTCCACTTTATTCAATTCTGTGTTTGCCCAATAATATTAATACTGTAGTAAACTTAGATTGGTCTCTGTCTTTAATGCAATTTAAAAAGTTGATAATACCTTACTTCGATACCTTTGGAATTTAAATAATATAAATAACAACTACTTTAAAAACATGTAAAATTTCTTAAAATTATTTAATTCTACCATTTAAAGTGATTTATCCTCTGCAATTAAAATACTGTAATATTATGTCACCTGTAAAAAATTACTTAAATTATACTATCCATGTAATTAGGCTAGTTAAGCCTGTTTGGATTTTTATTAAATAAATAAATATCTTAAACATTTACCAATAGAAACCACCTCAGGGTTTTCTAGTATTCTAAAAATCTGATCAACAGAAACTGTTGAAACATCGTTTTCATTTGCAATGAATGTTTTCTTGCTTGTATCAATAAAGTTTAAAGCCATAACATTAATGTCGTTTTTAACGATCTCCTATACAATGCATATGGAAACTTCTAAGCATTTCTTTTGCCTCCTACAACATTAACCCATACAGAATCACCATTTTTTAGTCCGTTAATTCTTCACTTTTTCTAATTATTGGTCTTCTTCTTTACTATTTCAGGTTGAATCATCTGATTCTGCATATTTTTCATCTTCATCATCTTCACTGGACTCGTCTAGTTCTAGTTTCTTCAGATTTTTATTTTCTTGTAATTTATTTTTACTTTCTCTTTTTTTACCGTCAGGAATTTGTACTATCGTTTTCTACCTACCTTTTAGATATATTTCATTTATATTAAATATAAAGTAATAGAGAAAATATTGTATTATTTTTTAATTTTAATTAATATTGTGCTTATTCATTTTAGTGCTGCCGCAGATTGTCATGCAACAAAACACTGCATCCAAACGGTGTGGATACACAAAACCTTGCCTCCTGATGATAGCAGTGTTTGTCAAATTTGTTTAGATATGGTGAAACAAGCCAGAGATCAATTGGAGAGTAATGAAACACAGGTAAATAAGATTCATTAAAAATTATTTTCTTTCCACCAAAGTACTATCTACAAAAATGTTTTTTTGTTTACATTTATCTTTGATAGACATTAGAGTGTGACTTAAGTAATTATTATTTACACTGAATTGCATGATAATTTATGAATATCGAATAAATTATTTTGTTATTCACATAAATAGGAATGTTATAAAGTGCAATAATTAAACAAAATCTCATTAAAAAAATAGTTTAGTTGTGTTTAATTTAATTTTTTTGACAAGATAAATAAACGATATTATGTTAGACATTGAGATATAAACATCTGACAGAAGTTGGAATTTTTTTAAATGACTATTTAATGTTTTTGTTTTAGGAACTTATAAAAGAAGTTTTCGAAACCGAATGTAGCTATTTTCGTATCAAACCAATTGTAAAGAAATGTGACAAAATTGCCGATAATTATATTCCGGACTTAATCGACACTCTTGCTTCTCAAATGAATCCTCAAGTTGTTTGTTCAGTAGCTGGTCTATGTAACAACGAGAAAATTCATAAAATGTTAGCAGAATCTGGCGAAGTTCCCAAAAAGGATGCTATTTCGACTAAACCAGACAAATGTCAAGGTTGTCACACGGTAGTTACTATTTTGGAAGATAGATTCAATAAGATCTCTAAAGATGATGTGTTGCACAAATTTTTGCAGGTAAATATTGCTTTGTTTAAACCATGTTTAGACATGTATTGTTGTTCGAAACTATATGCCCCGCCCGTTCCAGGGCGAAACATATTATTTCAAGGACGTATTTATATATCCTACCGGTACTTGATACTATTTACGTTTGACGTTTATACGTCCCGCTCGGTTAACAGGTTAGTGATCAAAAAAGGGTGTGTAAATTAATTTTGCCTACAGTGTATAAGTCGTTGAAAATGTTTAAATAATATTTGTTTCTAAATTGCAGTTTTGTGGTAAATTCGGCAGCTTCTCCGACGGTTGCAGCAATATCATTATAACTTACTTTACCGAAATTTATCAACATCTTCAAGCTCATTTGAACGCTAACGAAGTATGTCTAATGTCTGGAGAATGCAGTGCACAATTCCACAATCACAGAGCCAGAGTTGAAATCACTCCAAACTCGCATATTGGTTATGTTAGTGTTGGGTAAGTGATTAAATTAATAATATAAATTTTACATATTTAGAATTACTTAGATGATTGATTAAACTAGATAAAAATTAAATGATATAATGCAAAGCCGATTGTGGTATTAGCCAAGGGAGTAGTTCTTTTTAAAAGGGAAATTGTCGCTTCGTTTCTGCGACACAGTCTTTGAGATTTTCTTCTTCCTTTATGGTTTATTTTTTAGATAAAAATTGTTCACCCCTTGATTTTTAATAATGAATTTTCTTTATTTTAGTGGTGTAAAGGATGATTTGCCTTGTGAACTTTGCGAGCAACTTGTCAATCACCTCAGAGATTTATTGGTGGCCAACACAACGGAAGTAGAATTCAAGAGGGTACTAGAAGGATTATGCAAACAATCGGGTCAGTTTGCCTCAGAATGTACCGAGCTGGTTGATCAATACTATGAAGAAATGTATAACTTTTTGACAGAACATTTGAATTCCACTGAAGTCTGCGACGAAATTGGTATTTGTCATATGACTGAAAACAAGGTATGATTGTAATAGTTAAACTAACCCTGCTTATAATTGACTAACCTTTATTTTTGATTTTTTTTTTAACAATCTAAATATAAGTGTATATATTTACTAACAAATAAAGTTTTACAAAACGGTTATCCAACTGTTTAATTGGAACGTGTTGTTGAATGTGTTTGTCATTTTATAAATAATTTTTTAAATAGTATTGAAAAAATCCATTCAAACTAATACTACACAAAAAAAAATCGGAGTGGTATAATTAGGGGAAAATAAAAATAAATATAAAAAAATACGCATGCCTTCTTATGCATGTGGAACCTTTACCAGTCCTAAAATTTGGTTAAAATTGCACCATAAACAAAGACGGAATGTGTACCAAAGTAAAAAATTCGTTTATTCTGAATAAATCAGTAAATTTTTTATTTATATTCTTTTATATTTGATTAGCCTAATAACAAAGACAATACGAAAGCAATATCACAGTAATTGAGCCTAAAATATTGTCATTTTAAAAGTTATAAAGGTATTAAAGTAATATTTTTGGTGGGCGCGCCCCTGTTATTGGCTCATAAAGAATCGCATGCCATAAGTAAAGAAGAAAGAATAACCGAACAGTAAAAACTGCTGATGTAAATCTTAATTCAAATAATTTTATAATAGAATTGAAAAATTCTAAAATAGAAGAAACAGACCAACAAAAATTATTTTTAATTCTAAAGATTTCCACCAGCTATTTAGCAGGAGTGAATTAAACTCGACATGTGTATAAGGAATAAGGAGGAAGTGAACTATATGGTTTTTTTTGGAGTGAGGGTAGCTATATGTGAGTAGTAGGGATTAAGTATAAGGGTTAAGAAAAGGTCCTTTATTTCTCACACGTCAATTTTAATTGGCGACCGGTTTCGAAGCTATTGCTTCATCATCAGGCACACCTTGACTATTTCCATAAAGGAAGTGCTACATAAGGTTTAACAAAACGAGTTAAAATAGTCAGAAAAGTCATGTAATACCTACAATAGTACTTTTTAATATATTTTTAGGTTAGGTTAAACCGCGAGATGTCTGATTCAATCTCGCGGTTTAACCTAACCTAAAAATATATTTAAAAAAATACTCTTGTAGGTATTACATGACTTTTCTGACTTTTTTAACTCGTTTTGTTAAACCTTATGTAGCACTTCCTTTATGGAAATAGTCAAGGTGTGCCTGATGATGAAGCAATAGCTTCGAAACCGGTCGCCAATTAAAATTGACGTGTGAGAAATAAAGGATCTTTTCTTAACCCTTATACTTAATTGAACTATATAGGTAAGTTTTTCAAATTCGTAGTAATGAGAGAATAAATTTACCATTTACAGAAAGCTGGAATTTTAAATTAAATATCCAACTTTTTTGTGGTCTCATATAGGGATGGCAAAATAAAAAAATATATCGATATATCGAATCATATGATATATCGAAATAATATATCGATACATTCGATATATCGAATGAAAAATATCGATATTTTGAATATATCGATATATTCTTAATAAAATGTAGAAAAATGCATTTTTTAATAGTTAAAATGCGATTTATTTAGGACCGATTCCACCGTTGTGTTAATCGAAGTTTAAAATGACCTTTTTACATTAAACAATGTTATTTTAATCTCCGTTTAACACAACGGTGGAATCGGCCCTTATTCAGATAAGTAATGAAATATACAATACGTGTTTTTTTTAATATAGAGGCGAACCAAACTTACTCAAACTTAAATATTTACTTAAAAAAGTGTTTATGATACATGATTTGAAAGCTTTCTGAGAAGATAACTCAAAAATAATAAATATGACAATCCCTTGCCAGATATAAACTGTTTTGGCTTTCTGTTGCTGTCAAACCAGCTTTCGAAAATAGTCTAGAACAGAAGCTGCTACTGCAGAAAAATATTTTTATTAACCACTCTGGATACCGAAAATATAACTAAAAATAGGCAAATTAATACATCAGACCAAACCAGGGTTGCCAACTTTTCAAATTCCATTTACCGTAACGCGCAATTCAAATTACCGTACGTGGCCTTCCAATACCGTACACTTTTATTTTGTAGAAAACTATGTATAAATCATCTTTTTGTCGAGCTCCTAAAATAAAAAAAGTCCTTATCATATTTTACTCAACCTCTGGTCCTTCTACCTAGCTTCTACAAAAAAAGGCCTTAGCTTATATTTTTGTAAAAACCCAGTCCTTTTAAAGGACATGTGCTGTAAAAAAAGATTAAATCTTCATTTAGTAATTTAAACTTCGTTTAACACAACGGTGGAATCGGCCCTTATACACCTCAAAGTCTTTGCTAATTCTGTTCAAAATACCGTACGTTTACCGTACTTTTTATGTAAATACCGTACTTTTATGTACGGTAATGACTTTGGACCATATACCGTACATTAATCGAATTTACCGTACAAGTACGGTAATTACCGTAAGGTTGGCAACCCTGGACCAAACATAAAAAATAACACAAAGAGCCTCGTGCACGCCTGACGTGTTAGCTGCCAACGTCAATTAACATCGCATGCGCACAAGCGCACGTTTTATGAATAATGTTTTCGATATATCGAAACGATTATATCGATATATCGGTAATAAAATATCGATATATTTGTGAAATATATCGATATTTACACAACATCGATATATCGTTGCCATCCCTAGTCTCATAATGAATGCGAATATTGAAATAATGTTTTAATATCAGCTTTGTCAAATCTAGGGCGTGATTTTCAAAAATATCGTCATCAAAAATGTGATCTCCAAAAAAGTTTAATATGTTAGATTCTAAGGTTTTTACAATATATAAAATTAATAGATCCAAAAATCTCAAATCTCCAAGGATAACACTTTTTCGGATACCTTCATTTTCTTCAAGTCCTACAAGTGAAAGCCAAATATTTCTTGTATACTTACAAGATGCCCAGCAAACATTTTGGTGTAATTTGACGTCGATACTACCTTAATTATATATAATAAATTTGGTGGCAAAATTAGATTTAACCATAATTAAGTAAAATTTACGTTGTCTCGACGTGGATTCGACATAAGTGGAGAATAAGACGACGTCGAAATTTGGTTTTATTTACCAAAATAGGTTGGTTAGTAATACCTCTCTAGGGAAATTTGACGTCAGTATAACGTTAATTCGACGTTGATTTAACTAAGTTTAGGTAGAAACTACCAAAATATTTGCAGATGACGTATGCCTCCAGGTGTATGAAAAGAAATTTTATACTTATTTGGTATTTTTATCTATATATAAGTAGAAATATTGTAAGAAGTCACCAACACAACTAAAACATATACCTAATTCACATGAAAGATTGAAAATAAATAAATGTCGGTGACCAAAATATATGTAATGTAATTGCGGTGGATATACAGTTCACGCTTATCTTGAATGAGTAAAACCAAATTTGGTAGATTTTCACAAAACTTTTATTTTAAAAAATAAAAAAAAAAAAAATAAAAAACACTACACATGACATGTTTCGAAGTACAACTTCTTTTTCAAATGTGACTAATTTACAATTCGGTATCCAATATATATGCGAAATAATTTAACAAAACAAAGTACTTAAGAAAACATCAATAACATAACAAAGTAAACTAACTATTTAAAGTAAATAAGGGTACTTAGGTAATTATGATAACAATCAAATAACAATAAGATAGCAACATTATCGGGATTATCTCACAGAAAACTAGGAAAGAGATTTAATAAGGGTGAGTTATTAATATCTAATTGATCATTGAGTAGGTTATCTGAATTTTTAAATCTATTTATTTTAAGTGTTTCTAAATGGTTTAGTTTATTGCCCTTATTTTCTATATGTAAAATTTCAAAGTTGTCTGTAAATGAATAATTTTCAGCTAAAATATGATTTGAGTAAGTAGAATTATTTTTGTTTTTTGTATAGCTATTATAATTTTCGGAATAGCGCTTTTTGAAAGTACGGCCTATTTTTTAAAATAAAAGTTTTGTGAAAATCTACCAAATTTGGTTTTATTCATTCAAGATAAAATGGATTTTCATCAAGTAAAGGCCGAAACAATAAATAACAGTTCACGCTTATTGAAATTAATGCGAAGAAAATTTTGTCGTGCATGTTAACAGTTCTACTTAGAAAAATAACAATGCCCTTCCAAAATACTCTCTAATTAAAAAAATATAAGAAAAAAATATGATCGTGTAAAAAAATAATAATAATATGAGCTAAAACTATGTTACGTTTGTTGTGTATCACTTTAGAAAATCAATAATGTTTCGTTTTTCGGTATTTTCATTCGTATGTTTTAGTTATGGTCATTTTAAAAATTTAAAATTTGGAATCGTACTTCAATTACGTTAAAAAAATATGGCGTATTGTGCGAATTCGACCTAAAAGTTATTATGACTAAGGAAATCTACGTATTTTACAAATACCTTTTTACTAAGTTGAATTAACTTCAATTTCACGACATATTAGTTAACTTTACCTATTTAAAGAAATAATAACTTATAGGTTTTATAAAAAATTTACCTATAGGTAAATATAACATATTTAGGTCACGTTGTTCTGCACTTGAGATTTTAGACGTTTCACTTTACGATAAAAATCGGAAGTATAACGATATGATTTATTATTTTTCGAACTCATTTTATTAATTATTTTTCGCACTCATTTAAAGCTCTATCTACACCACACGTAAATTAAAATTACGACTGTAATGGTTTTTTTAAAATGGCCGAAATTCTTAAGAATAATGACGAAGACAGTAACTGAACAACCTAATTGTTAAAATAACCTAAATAATATAAATTTTACAAATATGTCATGTATGACTCTTTTTAAATTGGTGGTTTTTAGTCGAATTTACTTTGTGGTAGATTTTTCAGGTAATTGCTACAACAAAGTTAATAAATATTTCTTCAAGATGACTTATAGGTCAACTAAATGAGTATTTGACTATTTGGTTGAAATTAGGTAGAATTT